AAGGCAGGTGTTAGAGCTGAGCAGCTGGAACTGCTCAACAGCTGGAATGAAGAACAGGTCTTCCTGGATGCCCCTGCTGTTCACAGCTTAAGGCCCTGTTGGAGCAGTTTTACTGATAAGAGGTGGAAAGCCATCTCTTCCCCCAGGCAGCAGGTAAGAATGTGCAGCCTGGTGTTTCTGTTTATTACTTTCTATGCCTGCATCAAGGCTTACCAGAGCAGCTCTGCAGAATTAAATGCAAGGCAGATAGATACCCTCATCTCTCCCCATTGTGCATCAGTTGGGCATCTAAAAAATCCAGATAAGCCATGAACTACCACCCTCCTTCAGAGACCTTTTCCTAGCAACCAGTGGTGTTCTCATCAGCTCCTGTAGCTGGAACACAACAAGGTAGGGGTAGTATTTTCTCCCACTCTCTGATGGAACTGAAACTACTACACAGCCTGTTTTTCTTTCCAGCTTCACACACCAAGGCAGGACAATGCATGAGGCAGAAATGCTGCAGAGGCTGGCAGGTCATGACCATAGGAAATCATAAAATAAAGCAGGAAGGTAGCAAACAGAATTCCTGCCTTAACAGCAGGAAGACATCAAACTTCAGATACGCTTCTAAGAAATTACTTAAACAAGAAAAAAAGCGGCAACTAATGCAGCCTAAAGCTGTGCTATACTATCCCAACAGTCATATGTGCTTCTGGTACCAGGTTTGGGAGACTGACCATAACCTGAGGTTGGAAATGCTATCAGGGTTTTAGTAATTGAAGGGGTATAACATTAACACCTGAACACAAAAAACAAACAAACAAACAAACCCAAACAAACCTCAGAACTCAACTATTAGTAAGAAATGGGACTACAGCCCTTCTTCAGTGCAAAGTGCTGGTGTAGGGCTCAGGCCAATGACGATTCTTCTGTATTATAACATGGCTTGCAGTTTTGCATATGGTTGTATATTAAAACATATATTGTTGCTTAAAGGATTTAGCTTCAAGTGAATATTTCCCTGAGTGGTTGCCTGAAAGTAATTCTATTAAGCACATACACTCATAAAACCACGAAAAATCCACTGCAGAATAGTCAAGTGCAGTTTCCTAAAGAATGTTTCTGTTGGGAAAAGCAACAAGAAGCTCTCAGTTTCAGACTGACTTGGTACAAATACCAGCACCTGCACAGACCAACAGCATTTCTTGTTAAGGCCTGACCACGCTGGGTCCCAGTTCCTCCCTCCAAGATTTGCTGTTTCTCTGAGGACACTCAGAGCAGACTTTGGCATTACCTGGGCAGTTCTCATTTCTACTGAAAACACAGAATGTGAAATACTGCATTTCCCCGCATGATGGAAATCGGTTTTTTTTTTTTTTTTAATGACCTCTTAGAGAACGAAAAGCTGGATTCAGAGAACAGTGAGGAAAGAGCAGGACCAAATCTGCTGTCACCTAAACCCAAACTTCTGGTCTGAAATCCTGATACCCTTCAGAGCTCATGTTCAGACAGGGTTAATGTTGGCAGACAACTTCCTTGTCCCCCCTGCAGATGACATTACCTTTTGATACTAGTCTCATACTCAGTCCTCTGTTTGCTCAGTTCTGTCTTTAGCTCCACCACCAAGCTCTGTAAGGCCCTGGAGCATTGGACAGAGTCTCGGGAAGCTGCAGCTGGGTCACTCTGTTCACTGCTGCTGCTGCATGCATCAAACCTGTCCATGCTGTTTTCCAGGTCCGCAGTCTTGCCCTCACTCTGAGACAGTGAGCCCTGAGTTATCCACTCAGTTTTGAGAGAGCTTAAAGCAGAAGAGTCACTGGCCCGGCAGGCTGGGCAGCTGCTGACTGAGTCCATCACGGAGATCTCACACGAAGATGTTGACCATGAAGTGCTGGCCATGCTGTGTGTGCTGAGGGACAGGCTGGATGAGGGGACATTGTCGTAAGTGGAGAGTCGCTGGGAGGAACACGAATCTTTAACTCGCTCCCCAGATGCTGTCCGGCGGTGGCCTCGGAGAGAGTACAGTCCGTTCATCAACCAGTTCCCACTGGAGGAGAGGTTGGGGATATCTAAGGATGAGCTGCCCAGCTTTGGACTCACAGACCGTGCTCCCTGCTGGCGGAAGGAGTATTTCCACGGAGGCAGCGTCTGCACTCTTTTACTGGGGCTGGTGGCAGGCTGAGTTAATTTGCCACTGTGCTCTGGAGGAGTATTTTTCACTGCAGGTCCTGGGTTGGCCTCTAGTGCCACAGCGTTGCTAGAAGGCAAATCAGCAGGGCTGGGAGCACTGTTCTCTGACCTGCTGTCCTCCCCGTCCTCCTCGGAGATCCACTCCACAGTACTGCGCTGCCGCACGGGCCTGATTTCCAGCTGGCTCCCTGGCACATCTCCCTGAGGAACAGCAAAGATTCGCCCCTGTTCACTTATCAGCACTGTCATCAGGTGTTGAACTAGTGAGGTGCCTGTGGGTGGAAAACAAAGGCAAGCAGTTGAGGAGAGGTGAAAAGTCCTCCCAGAGTCACCCCAGCCTGTGGCATGTCCCGTGAGCTCCTTTGAGACCCGTGGCTGCCCTGCATTTCAATGCGTCTGCACAAGGAGCTACTCTGGGCCTTCCTATACAGGACTTCAAAGAAACAGGAACAATTGCTTTTGCTGGGAAGGGGGACTGTGAAGGATGCAGGTCCCAGTTCAGCCCATGAATGTAGCTGACTAGCAGAGTACAAATGATCATTAGCAATGATTAATAAACTGACCTGCTTAAGGAGGCTGGAAGCTTAACTGACCTTGGAGGATGACAGAGGTGGAGGACACTTGGAAAACAGGGCAAGTCTGTACCACACCAGGCACGGGCTTCAGAGCCAGCATCAATCTCAGTGTTTGCATCCACGCAGGATAGCGCAGCCCTGTGCAGGGATGCATGCCAGATCCTGAACACACTAACCTATTTGCTAGGAGGAAGCACCTCTCTGTCCAGCTTCCAAAAACAGCAGGTTTCCACAACCAGGTTGCACTCAGTTTTATAGACTGAACAGGCCCAGAGCTACTGCTTATTGAAGAACCAAAAATTTCAGCTCAGGCCTTCTGCTCCACTCAGTGTATAGAGAAACTTGCAGAAAGTATGACATCTGCATGATACTCGCACTTGCAGAAGGTGTACAGCAAATGCAGAAAGTACTTGCAATTATTTAAATCCCCAGAAATGAGCTGTCATTGTTTTCCAGTAGTGGAGTTGACTGTAATGAACTAATAGAGAACACCACACTTACCAAACGTAATACAAAGCACTTCCTACAAAAGAGAAAAACCTTTAAAAGAGTGAGTATGCCATTCTATCTTTAAGTATTACCTAAAATAGAGAATAAGACCAACATAGGGGTTCAAGACAAGTGCCTGATTTTAATCACGACATTTTCTCCTGACAGCAAGAGGTTCTGAACTTACCTACCACTTCTATTTTACGTCTGTGAATGCAGGAAGAGAAATAAATGTCTTGGAGATAAGGGCATTCCTAACAATTTAGCTGTCAAACTTAAGTTATTTCTATTTGAAATTCATGGTTTAAATTTGAAGAGAGATACAACTAGAGTGCTTTTGTTAAGATCTGGGTGCAGTATTTTACTTTATCAGTTTATTTAGCAGATTGAAATTACCCTAAGCTAAAAAAAAATTTATTGAGTCTTTCCACTTTTCTTTCATTTCTATCTAATCAACCTTCTATCCTTGACTAAAAATTAAATAAAACATTGCTATTGCTGTTGTTATTAGTGTATAGTGTTAGTATAATGATTAAGTCAAAAAATCCAGTCTACATATCCCAATTTTTATACAGGTCAGATCTACGGCAATACAGAATTCCAGGTCAGATCACTGTAGTGTTTTTATATGATAATTAGGAGAGAGCAGGAGACCACAGCATGTGTGGCACCTGTGCACCTACACACAGTACAAGCACCTCTGCCATCAGATAATCTGCATAATGAAATGCCTGAGGTGAACTGAACCCCGACTTGTCACCTGTGCCAGCTGAACAAAGAGCACGCTGTGGGCCCAAGCTGTGAGAGCTGTACCAGCGCTGGCCAAGTGGCCACTAGGGGAAGTCACAGCATCACACACGAGATGATTTCAGCTGTCCCCACCTCTCTAACATTGAATAATCTGCATCTGCTCCCACACTCCCTTCTCCTCCCCTTCCGCACTTTCGTACCTTTCACACTTTGAGGAGAAGGTCTCAAATCTACCCTTAATAACATGACCCACATCTCTGTGGTGGGCTTTGAATCCCTGAACAACTAGAATATGTCAGATCATACTCTGAAGTTGTCCTTACAGTGAGTTGCCATTGTGGGCAACATCTGCACATCACCTGTGCAGAGCTAAAGTCACTGCTGCTGCTATGGCATGTCAATACTGGTGTTCTGTGAAGGATTTTTGTCTCACAGAACACCACGTCAGCTGTACAGCTCAGGAGCATCACCAGAGCCAAGTTCAAACATCCTGGGCACAGCATCTCCATCTGTGCCTACTGCTGCACATCTGTGCAGGCTTGCCAAGATCCCACAGAACTCAATGCAAAGACCCTACTAAAGCTTGCACTACAGTAGTTGTGTTCCAGTGCCACCTGGGAGAGGAGCTGCTTCTCAGCCCTAGTGTCAGCCTGCTTGACCCATATGGAGGCAGATGATTTTTAAGTTTCATATTTTTACATCAGAAATCAACAGTGATTTTCAAGTCATTTCTTGGATTCTGTGAATTTCTGAACCATATACAGTCGATTTAGAAAACTACACTTCTAAGACACCTAGTTATAGCCACTGTGGCACAATGAAAATTACAGTCCTCTCACTGTGGCCTGGATGCTCTCTACAGGTTGCTGTATAACCACTGAAATGCATCACTGCTAAATGATAGCAGTTTGGTACTTAAGCGTGGTCCTTTTGAAAAACGTGAGCTTTCATTTTAGCAGTAGGTTCAGAAAGAGTTTCCAGGTGGCAGAGGCATCTCCACATAATGGAGAGACTCCCAGACCACGAGTGAATGGGGTAAGAGAGGCCAACAAATACACCCCCTTCACAGGCACTGATGGATGGCCTGACTTGTTCTGATTGTGAAGCTACTGATCAGCTACCAACAAATGTATGACCTACAGCCCCAAAGCACAGCTGTTATGGTTTCTCACAAGAGCAGTACCTACCTTCCATCATGGTCACCGGATCTTCCATTTTAGGACGTAATATGTTTGGTCCAAATACTGTAGCCAGGTTCTGGACACTCATCTTGTTAATGCTAGAGTGAGCCTGAACTTCATCGAGGAACCTTGAAAAGCCCCCAAGGTAAATCAAAGGAGAAGGGGAATAATAAGTAAGTCACTTCTCAGACTGTAGGCATTCTGGGGCAGGGACAGTTTAGTCTTACTTTCACACAACCCTGACACCTGAAATGATGCTAGGGACTAATGCAGCCTAAATACTCAGTAATTACCCCAGATACCTTTTAGTGTATGAACTCCAGAAGACAGTATGGTTTCTGTCAGTAGCACCCATCTAGCAGGGATCCAGCCTTCTACTGGGTCTGAAAGGACAGCTTTTCACATTTTTATAGGAATTCTCCAATTACACAGATTGACTTCGGGTAGTTTTCACTTACAGATAGAATTAAAAAGGCATTTCACTCAGCTCCTTGTCCTAGAACTAGCAGCCTGTGAAAAGAGCTTTGTGGCTGGCCTTGAATCTAACAAAATACACATCACAGAATCATAGAATGGTTTGGGTTGGGAGGGACCTTTAAAGATCATCTCATTCCAACTTCCAGATAAAGAGGCAGCCCAAAAACTGGGAGAATCAGCACAGAGATGAGGGGAGACAAGGCTGTGGAGTCTCTGGAAACCAAGAGGAAGCCACTCCTAACCCCACTTCCAAATCGGAGCAGATGCCAGACTGGCTATTCTGACTGCATCTGCTACTCAGTTTGTGTCATAAATCTCCCAAGTGTGCAGTACAAAGAAATAATGTCTTTCTTTAGTGGTCTGTAAGTGCTTCTGAAATAAGCAATATAATATATTGGTATCATTCATGTCTGCTGCCAAAGCTGTGGGTGACAGCAATTTGCTTAGCTGATGCTCTTGGATAAACCAAGAGCTTCCTTCAGGCAGGCCGTTCATTCACCTCTGAATGTTTTACAGGAGTAGCTTACACGTTAGTGATGTCTGAATATTCATACATTCAGAGTATATTATTTGCATGTAAGACAGCCTCACAAAACTCAGAGACTTTTCCAAGTATTAATTAATTTCACTTACTTGCATATGTATTTGAGGAGATTGTAGTTGGCTTGGGGCAAATTCTTCACCTGTTTAACCAGTTCCTGGGTACCCTGAGGGACAGGAAAAACAAGAAAGAGAGATATTAATGTAAATGCTGCAAAGCAGACGTGACTTTCCTTCAGTACTGTAAAGTCCTCTTTCCATAGCCAAATGCTGCACAACAGATGAAAACACAAGGACGCTTTGTTTTAAAGGAGGTGTCATGTATTGCATTGTGCCTTACCAAAACAACCATCTGGAACTTGACTCGGTTCTCAGTGGAAATACTCCAGTCAACTTTAATGGTTGATGTCGAAGCCTTCAATTAGTGAGGCCTGTCAGCCTTCAAAGCCTGCCCACTGGCATCAGTGGCAATGTACCAGCAGATGTGCCTTTGCAGGACGTGGCCTATTTGAAACTTTGAGGCATTGAGTGTAGTATAAATACATCACAATAATGCTCAAACTGAGCAGAGGAGAGTTTTTCTTGAAAAAGCTAAATGACACTCCAACTATCCCTTTTTTAATTACATACTTCCATTTGCAGTTATTCTGACCTGGGACATCTTTCCTCAAAAAATTTCTGTCTTCACATTAAAACGTAAGATGAGACATCAGCTGAATGAATGACTTAAAACCCTGAAGCTACTTAAATCATATAATGAAAACCTCTGACTCAGAAGGCTATTGTCCTGCTACAATCCCAAGTATCATTTGCTTCTCCCTGTCAGTACTGCAGTTGCCCTGGATATTTGCTTAATTTTGGGGACAGCTATACCTTTTGTAGAAAAATAGATACTGAAGCACATTTATGAAGAGTGATAGCTGCTAATGAATGATGGAGGGCTGCAAACTAATGATGGAGACATTCCAGAAGCAACTGGTTCTGAGCCAAAGTGCAGCTGGACATTCATTTCAAACTCTCCTCCATTTATTAAGGACTTCAGGGAGGGAATTCTGTTGGCCAGACTCTTGCAAGATCTTCCTGATTTCTCTGGTCCAGATAAGTCAGAAAGATCCAGAGAGCAGTCTCTATTCCTGCCTTTCTCCTTAATGTCCTAAATGTATAGATACTTCCTTATTCTGTACGTCCCAGGAAAAAAAAAAAAAAAGTTCTCTAGTAAAAATCTAAAACACAGTTCTTAAAAGCAGTAGGCCTATTTTTTAATTCCTGAGCTTAAACACCATGATGTTTTAACACTGACAACAATGGAGACACCAATAAAAGGCCAAGTACTTTTGAAAATCACAATCCTCTTTTTTAACTTCTGAAAATTTTTGAATCAGGAACAGTTGCTACTGATGTGAAGGTTAAGGTCAGTTTTTCAGATCAACCAACTTTCAAGTGACAAGTTTGAACTAGAAATAGGTGAGCTACCAGACCTAATTCCCTCTTGAATTTTGCTCTGTAACCCAATTTATTTCAAATAAGGAAATCAAGATGGTATTTGGCACTGTATTTCAAGTGCTCTGAATTAAAATACCACAGCTTCACTGGATACAAGAGGAGGCTTTAGAACAGAAAACTGCAGGCAGCTGTGAGCAGCAGGGAATATGACCTAAAGGTACAATATGCTACCTGAAAAAAAGAAAAAGTTCCAAAAATTTATCATCCGTGCTCTGTCACGAGGAATCTCAAACATGGTATTACACAGAAAGTATCTTCATATTCATCAAGGTAGAAACACCTGCAAGGTTAAAAAAAGCTTCCTCTCCTACTGCAGCAAATTTATAAGCTGTGCCACAGATTTGTACCCACCAACCACTTGAACTGCAGAGGGCAGAAGGCCGAGCCTGGTAACACCACAGCGAAAGTGTAAAGGAAAACACAAGCTGGAAACTGCTGAATTAACAGATAGCACTGATTATGGCTGCAGCCCAGCAAGCAACAGAAGCACTGCACTTTTATTCATCCTGGGGTTTTGCAGTGATAACTCTTACCTCCTTGAAAATGCTGCTTTCCAACGAATTATCCCAAACCCAATGGTTTTGCAATGTGTGTAACAGATCAGCACCAATTTGGAGCTTCTAGTTTGGCTGGAAAACTAGCAACACTTAGATGCTCATCCAAATTCAGATCTCTCTTTAAAACCTCAAAGCCATGTGTTCAATCCACTGAACTGCTGTGCATCTCTAGAGTACAGGTAGCAGTGAAGGCTAAATACTACCATGCCAAGTCAGCTCAGACTCAAATGAGTTTTTAAAAATTTGAAGATCTCTCTTTCTCTAAAATTGTTTTTAATTTTTGATCCCTCCTCCAAATCAATCAGGATCAGAATAAAATCTTTTTTAATACTGCAGTCCTGCTGAGATACCTGGAGACCTCAGCACAGACTAAGGTCTCTGTTACGTTTCTGTTCGCATTTGAACACCAGAGATGAGTTGGATGCAGAACGAAGAAATGAAAAGCAATTTGAATGAAAAATGGAAAGCTTAGCGCAGTGCTGGAGTTAGGCCAAGCAAAAATCATAGTAATTTCTATCCACAATCACAATGTAGCAGCATGAGGTGCCAAAAGTTTTATTCGAATGGTTAATTTGCCTTGAGCAATTCTGGCTGTATTGGGTGAGGGGGGGAGAGTAGGTGTGCAAAATTAAAGAATCTGATGTTTCAAGTTCCAAGTAAAAAATGAAAACAAAATAGTACTTCAAACTAAACCAATAAGATTACATTTTGTTTCAAAATACTTCTACAAAATAAAATGTTTTGATTTCTAAATTCCCTGCTTATCATTATGTGTTACAAATTACGGTTTCAATGAAACCACAGTTTCTAGGCAGGGGGATTTTCCATGTGGGAGGCAGCAAGTCAGGCCCCACAGGCTAGGTATGACTTTGTGCTACATTCTGCCCCACATGCTGCTGTGCACGTACAGCATCTCCACCCTTGGTGTGGGCACCTCCACCTTCCTTTCTGAAAAAGTAAACAGCCCTTGTTAAGGTTCCAGATTTTCTTGACAGAAAAAAAAATTGCTTATGTTTACAACAGCAGCTTAACAAAACATCTCTGTGCTAGGACTGGTGCTGTATTTTGTAAGCTTTCATTTTGGCTATCTAGTGCTCCCCATCACCTTTCTCATCCAAATAGAACTCTGCACTACAAGTCATTTTAGTCTGACCTTGCTCCCACAGAAGCAACACAGATGTTGCTTCCCAATCTGCTGCAGCCTGTGCAGGCAAAATCAGGCAAACAACGTAGTTAATAAGCTGAGCAGTGATATACAATTATGTTTGCCCAATTTGGCAGTGTCTCTACTCTTGTGCAATAGTGCTTAATGGATCCAAAACTTCTCAGTCTGCACATCTTATGACCAAAATGAAACCAGCTCCACTGCCTCAGAAGTACTGCTGTTTCTTATGAAATAACCGCTGTGCGGTCTGTAACACAGCACCCTGCAGAGATGCCCGAGTTCACTGAGGGTAAGGCAGAAAATCAACAAGTTTTGGAGCTAGCAGACACATACCTTTACCTATTAAAAGACAGCACCAGTGCACTGACACACTGATGTGGCTGTGTCCGGGATGCAAATGCATATTCACCTGTGGTAATATTTGGTGCCATGCACAGAAATTTGCTTTCTTGCAGCTGATTAGAGGTTACATCATTTGAATGTATAGAGTAAACTTGCCTTTTAACCATAAAATCTTATATTGTCACATACACTATATTTGAGGCATGGAAACAAGCATCTTTGTATGGGCATCAAGAAGGACAATCTCCCCAGAACCTTCTGCCACTTGAACTGAAGGTGAACTCCAGGCTTGCAGTGAAGAACAGAATCCCACCAAAGACAAAGATGAGCATGCTCTTGAGACCACACACAGAAAACAGAACTGTGGACTGCAACTTACAAGCCCTTGGGCCTTTGCCTCTTTAGCAAAGTAAAGACACCAGTAACAGCTCTTACAGCTTCTTTAAATTGCTGTTTTGGAAGGTGGCACAGTTCCACCGCATCAGAACAGATCCAACGTGCCTCTGCAGTCAGCAAAGGACTAAGGTATCAACACAAGAAGAAAAATATGGATGAAACAGATCAATCAATCACATTGTAAATTATCCTGCTCCTCTCAAGCAGTGAATCAACATTTCCATGACTGCTACAGACCTGAGGATTTTTGTCAGCCCCTTCCCTCGCCTTGAAACCAAAGAGAAGAATATCATAAGAAGGTTCTGACAAAGTATTCATAGCACTATTCACCCCCCCATTTTGGATAACTGCATAGCCTGGTCTTTTGTAGTGTCTTTCCTCTAAGAAATACAAAGGCCATTGCACTGATCACTGTCTTAGGCACCAAAAACTTTGGGAAGCAGAATGTGTTGTTCTGATATATAAAATGCAAAACACAGGAAAAGGGAGGGACTTCATACAGGCCACTAGAGTCAACAAAAAGGCTGGGAAAGGAACCCAGACCTCCTTTCTACCTTGCTTCTCTTGCTGATTATGCTACAGAACAGCTTGGCTTAGAAGAAAGAAGCACCAGGTACAAGATTGACTTCAAAAAAGCTCCTGCTTCGAGCAGTAGCCTGTGATAATAGTGCCCAATTCACAGCATTGGGAAAATTCAGAGGAAGGTTCTCAGGGACTTCATTGATTTAAATCAAGATTAAAGAACGATGAGAAAAAAACCTGTACTATATGCTGAGTCTGGGGAACAACCTCTGATGTAGAAGGAGGCAGACTGGAAGGATCACTGACCTCTCCCTCATCTTTTGAGAGTAGCTGTCCACAAGAAAGAAAGTCTTCATATTTGGCAAAGGGGATGACAGGCTCTGGCAGCTCTCGAAGGTAAAGCTTCAGGAGGGACGCCACAGTGTGAACATCTGTGTTGCTGCAACAGAGAAGAGGGAAGGAAATTTAGAAACCCACACTATTTCAAAGCTTGATGCCTTTCACTTGGGGTGCATCAAGGTCCCTCTTAGGGACAGGGACAAAGTAGGCACATGGAAGGAAGCTCTTCTGCCACACTTTTGTACTAGACAGGAGGGTCTACATGGAAACAAGGGAAATCTCCCATTTTGTCAAGATATAAATGCACCTGAGGCAACACAAGCAGTGGAAGGGATATGCCCATGATACTGCTTAAGGCACTGTGGTTCCTCAGCCATGTGGATCAGGAATGCGAGAAATACAGTCCAGGCAAGTGCCCAGTGATCACACAGCATTGGTAATAGAGCTCTGCTCCTGATTCCATGAAATGTAACTTCTGAGCCTCCCACTGATCCTTCCTGATACTCCCCCCAGCCAGCACACACATACATGTGATGGGTCAGGCTCCCAGGTGTCCTGGTCAATCGTTTGGAAAAAAATGGAGGAAACTCTATTGCCATTTGGCACGGCTGCCCGGCTTACAGGTCACATCCCCTCCCCCAGACTGGGGTATTTGGCCTTTCCTCGTGCATCTGTTATGATAGGCTATCAGCTTATATTTCTTTCCCAATTCCAGAACTTCTTTTTCCTCTTTTCTTTCCTTTAAGTTGAGATTGAGGTGTTAGATACCATGATGAAGATGCACCTGTCTTCCCTTTCCAGGTATCCCACTTCTGGTGTATGGCAATACCTCTCCCTCATTTCAAGTTTTCTGTTTTGCAACTTTGTTAATCATTGCAGGTGACCTCCTTTTCACTGTAGAAGTCTAAACAGATTTGTCACCAGCTCCTCCCTACCCACCATTATTCTGGCAGCCTTTAGAGAAGAGAAAAACACATCATAAACACTGGGCAAGGGAACTTCAAATCTCTCTTCTATCCAGAATCTGAATCTCTTCTACTTGGTAGGCTTTTAAGCATTTTAGGAACACACGGCTAAAACAATACTGGAAAGATTACAACAGGAAGCTGTCAGCAGCTACCACTTGCTACTCATCCTGCTAAAGCTATTCATATTAAACAGCTCCACCATATTTGAGAATACCACAGTTTCACACAGTGGTTTTCTTCAGTTGATTATAAATGTTACACAAATGAGATCAGTACCGTTATTTGTTATTCTTTTTTTTTCTTTAGTGCAGACTTTCAGGCATGGATGGTGGATATGACTATCACTGAGCAGCAGAGCCCAGACTACAGCTTCAGGGCTGCTGGCTGCAGTAACTCTTTCATCCATGATGCCATGTGAAATCCAGCCAAACTTGCAGTGGCATGAAAGTGCAATAGGAGCAGACTGCTGTAGTTGCTTCCAAAACAGCAACACCTGGCCTTTCATAAGAACATGCATGTGCATTAAATACCTGAATTGGAAAAGTAGGCCTTTTAAAAATAAATATTTTAATTATCAGTCATCACAGAGATCTGATCCACCATGGGGCAGGGAGGTTTTAAGTGTCTAGAAGATCACTGTAATTACAAAAGACACCTACAAGTGCTAACTGCAATGAGGAAATAAGAAAGGATAATCCCTTCACTACACATGATTTGGAAAGAAGCATAAGCATTTCACACTTCTGTTGCCTAAGTTTCTCAGGCCATACCTGGATGGTTGTAGTTACACACAGAGAAAATGATGCTAGCTAGGAGGAGGAACATTTCACTTAACCAGAATGTAATTGCCTCTCCCTTGCTGCTGTCTGTGATTACACATATACATAAGATAGACTATATATATATATATATATATATATATATATATATATATATATATATATATAAGACCAGAGAGCTGGGCCTGCAAGTTGCATTGGACACGGTGGAAAAAGCAAAAGGCAATAACTGGGAGACCCTCAACTATCACACCAGTCAGGTACCCCAGGCTTGCTTCCTTTAATTCTGTACTGAACCTTCAGCTATCACATCACACATCAACTACCTGAAAGGTAGGCATTCCTTTCTGGAGATCTCTAGTTAAAGGGAGACTTGGCACTGATCTATTTAGAGCCACTGCAAATGCCTATGGAAATAAAGGTGCTTTCTGCACCTGAGGGCGGTGAGGCACTGAAATAGGTTGCCCAGAGAAGCTGCGCATGTCTTATCCCTGGAAGTGTTCAAAGCCAAGTTGAATGGGCTCTGAGCACCCTGGTCTAGTGAAAGGTGTCCCTGTTCATGGCAGGGGTTTGAAACAAGATCATCTTTAGGGTTCTTTCCAACCCAAAGGATTCTATGATTCTATTCTGCTTTAAAAATGCTGGGCAGAGGCTTGGCTTATCTTTGTAGCAATGAATTTAGTATAGATCACAGTAAAGTAAAACATGAAATGGAAACTGTCATTCCTAATTAACTCCTTCCATGGATACTCCTATTCCATAGTATAAGCATTCAATTAAGATAATTCTAATTCTGAACTAGAACACCCAGATACTCAGTTAAAAATACAAAGATTTTTTTTTTTTTAAGAAAAGATTAAGTGAAACAATTTAATGATTTCAAACTTATTTTTTCATGAAAATATTTCTCAATGTTTGACACATCCATTTAGGGAGCAAATACTGTCTGTGGTTAAGAATCAAAGAAAGGAGGATGGGTGGTCTGGGAAGCTGAGGGAAGGGAAGAATGAGAAGAATGTTCCAAATAAACTCCAAAGATATTCTTCCCAAGATGAGACCAAATACTGTTTCTGCCCACACAGGAGAGTTCTAGCTCTTCCTGGAGTAGCAGGCAGGGAAGTTATTGGTAATGTTGAGACTGGTTGCAGGTCCAAGGGAAAAGTGATCCCCTAAGGCTAATGTGCTGGTAATATACCAGATGCCACCTGCATCACCTGGAAAAATGGTGCTAGCGAGTCCCAGCAAGAAATGATGCCAGGTCTCCAAGACAAGATCTCAGATCTGATCTCACTTATGGACCTGTGATAGGGATCAGGCCAGATCTACAAAATGGCCTTGGATCCAAATATCCCTGAAGTTCAAGGTCTCTGTTAGGGTCCAGCCCTATTTCACAAAGCATAATTAAGGTTAGCACAATGCTGACCTCCGCTCTGGGCAGAACGTACATGTGACAGAGTAGAGAAAATGTTGGTTACAGGGTATGGACAGGATTTGACTGGAAGAGCCCTAAGAGCATTCACCTTTCTGATCATTTGACTGCCTGGGCTCAGGGCCAACATAGAGACAGTAGAGCTGAGAGCTGCCCCTTCCCTCGCTGCCCTTGAATGGAGCACTCAGAGACAGGGCTGACGCTCTTCCCATGGGAATTGATACTAAGCTAAGCATCACAGCCTCTGGCATAACAGGGATGATGTGTGAGATGGTGGTGACTATTCTGAAACCTGGTGACAAAGGAAGAGTCGAGCTGTTGCCCCAGGCAGATCTGCTGTTTGTGACAAGGGAGAATGCAACATCTGAAAGCAATGAAATATCAAGTTCAACCCTGTCATATCCCTTTCTATGATGGGATCCCACCAACTGCCCAGTATGCTGCACCCAAATCTAGCAATGCTTTTCATTCAACATAAGCTTAAGCTGAAACACTGGAGTAGCTCCATAGAGATTAATGAGTCCATTTTTCCCTTTGCTCAAGCACTGAGCTAAGGCCTCCACACTCAACACCATGCAGGAGAAAGCTCCATCAGCACTTTAAATAAAGAGAATGATGGTGTGGAAAGAACAGGTAAGCCAGAATAGCCACTGCAAGGACATTCCTGGCAGATTTTACACATCAGAGACACACTAGCCTGAATTTGGTCATGTCAACTCACCTGTCAAAAAGGGGTTTCTCTCCACAATCAAAAGAATCTTGTAGATCTTTGACAAGGTTGGCTTGTCCAGGCATCCGAAAGAGCCCCTCCTCTGTAAGACCTCGCTCCCGAATAAAATCCACACACTGTTCCACCAGCAGTGGGGCCAAGCGCTGGCCATACTTCCTCTCGTACTGTACGGTGTCCTCCAACCGCTGTCCAAAGATCCCTGACAGCAGAGAGCAAGAAAGACATCTGGGTGTCAGCTTAAACTCCTCTTGAGCTACTGCTCAGGGCATACAAGGGGGAAAACTTCCACATGGAGGGGGGAACCTCTGTGAAGGCTCAGTTTCTAACAGACTCTGAAGAATAAAATTACTTTTAAAAACAAGAATTATATGATGAATGACTTCTTTTCCTTCTGCTTAAGAGTGCTTCAAACTATTCTCTGCCCTAAACTAGTTCATATCCTACACACAAGGAAAGTGGTAATGCACATGTGTGATGAGCTTGAATTAAGTAATTATACTTTCATTGCATCTTCTGTCCCAAGAAGAGCAAAACAAAGGCTACACTGATTTTATGGGACACATTTCCTTTCTGCATGTACCCACCTCTTAGGTTGTCACACAACTGCCCTCCAGTAGTTTGCAGCTAGCCAGCCCAACAGGCAGCAATCCCACTAGGAAGGGATTGCTAACACCGCAGAGTACAGATGTCAACATTAGAACTGGCTGCTGTGAGAATCCCCCACCATCCTGGGAGACCCTTTCTATTTCTTTCCCTTTAATTCAACTTGCTGAATGAAAAAAAAAACAACAAACAAACCCCAGACAAAAAAACCCCAGTAAAACGCATGCAAAATCCATTGTCCTTTCTACTAAAATGTGTGTGCTGTACTTCTTGCACTTTGAAAATATCAAAAGCACCAGATACCCTAAAAGCAGACCGGCCTAGGTTAATTTATAAGTCAGATCTACACATATCATCAAGTACAAAGGACTGTCTCTTTCTTTAGGGAACATGAAGTTCCTGGCCAATACCAGCTGCTGAATGCTACCACTGGCACCAGACCTTTCGACAACAAGGGGCTCAGGCAGTAAGAGCCAGAGGTCATAGCTCAATTGCTGCCACTAGGAAACTGCTCCATGAAAAAGGACAGTTGCTGAGTTGGGTTCTGAAACTCTAATTGTAACACCCTGCAGTGTGTGGCGGAGTCAAGGAGGACAGCATCCAGGTTAATCACGTTTTGGTAATAAAAATCCAGTAAGTGAGGGAATCCCAGAATTTCCTGAATTTCAGATGACAACAGACCATAGCAGATAGGAAATTTTATTTAAAGATTTCTCAAAGCAACAGGAAGCTTTCTACAGATATCAAGGATCTTTAGATCATTCATTCAGCAGTTAAACCTGCAGCTCTAAAAAAAAGCAGCATGCAATATTGGAGCTACACTGTTTCACTACCAATAGCCTGAAGGAGTGTTTAATGGTTGTACTTATGTGCTTATACCAGGCCAGGGAATTTGGTCATTTCTTAAGGCTCTACTTACCTTCCTACTAGTGACCACGTGTTCCATTTTTACTTTAGTATTATGTTCATGGGAGGCTGATAACTCCTGGCAGGAAGCTTCCTAGTGACTGTTCACTGTTCTTCATAGGAGATACCATGTCAAACCATATCTGCTTTCTATTTTCAGTCCAACCTCACTGAATCCTCAATGAAACAAACTTTTTGTTATCAGTTTCAATTCCCTGAATAAAAGCTGTGAGAAGGATCCTGAAGTCCAATTTCCTTCCCCTGCCTGTTTGTTATACATTAGAAGACAGAAACCTTCCTTACACCACAGCCTACACAACTGCATTACAGTATCAAAGCCGGAGGGCCATGAAAAGTCTCAAAGGAAATTCCCTCATCCTGGCAGGAGGGCATGCCCTGGAGCATGGGAGTGACTTATCTTTATCCCTGTATGTACTGGATTTACTGCAGAGTAAAGGTTTTACTAGTTTTCATTTCTTATCTGTTTGAATTTTCACTGACTTGGGTGTCTCTGAAGTCATGTTTTAGGACAGGGAACCTCTTCCTGCTTTTGCACAGGTTGCTTGGTAATCTCATCATGTAATCCTTGCTGTCATGACGGGTTATATCTATTTCCTTAACATGATACATGTTGTTCACTTTTCTAGATGCAAGACTTATAGGTTCAGGGAAGTCAGGCTGTGGCAGATAGCAGCCCTCTTTTCTCAGATAGCAATAGCAGCCCTGTTTTCTCAGATCTCTACTTGTTGAATCACAGCCCTGTTTCCTAATGGGTCTGTTTAGAGAAGAGTCTGGGAAACAAGTAAATGCTCTGCATTCCCCAGGCATAAAATATATATAATGTTTTTCTAAAAGCTCATGTTCTCGTGTTCTAGACTTAACTCAGATCAAGGACAAAGGCAGTGTCAGACACACACATAAGTAAGCACACATAGAACAACTGCATGTATAATCTCCACTGAGGCTCTGTCTACTTTTCCCAAGCCTTGGCTGGTCCATGGTCAGCCACAAGCTCGAATACATTTCAGGCAACATCAGTCCTTGCCTTCACAGTCAACTTGGATCACAACAGCGGTCACTTTCTGCAGAAAAAATCAACCTGTGAGTGACTTCTGGATAACAAGTGGACTACAGTCAGAGATCACTGACACAGAGATTAATGAATGTGATGCTAAAATAACAGAGGTAGAAGGGTGACCTGCTTTGAGACTCAGACAGAGCAGCAGATGGACCCTTCCTAAGCACAGCATCACCATTACTGTCTGCTGCACAGCCAGATGTTGGGGATACAGTCTTTCCTCCTTCTCACACATGGAGGTCAGGAACACCTTTTTCTCCTGGATGAAAACAAAGACCTTTGGAGGAATCAAAGGCACTGAAATATTCTCACACTTCAATACTGCTCCACCTCCCTCCAGACCATTTCAAATAGGTAACAAAAAAAACGAGGCATGAGACCAAAACTGACATGACCGAGAATGAAGCTGACCTACCTATCGCATGATGAGTGAAACAAATTGGCACAGGTGTGGGTTTCTTTTTGTGTGACAGTGTGCGCTGAAGGGCTGAGCACGTGAGTTCACGCAATCCACACAGGTCATTTTTTGTAGAGAAGACAATCCTGAAGCCATTGCCAGGCTTAAAGACTTCTCCCAGTCCAGCTCTCTTAGGTGCCTCCCACCTTGGTTTGGCAGCCCCACTCCAGCCCAATCCCTACTGCACATCTATGCCTTTCTCTTTACCTTGAACCTGAATCCTAATTATTTTGGGGAAGCACAAGAAAAAATATTTCACCCAAGCTAAGTCTGTTGCTAACTGCAACTTTCCCTCTGTTACATTTTTCCAGTTATATTGCATCTCTGTTTTTTCTTTATCCTACTGTTTTTAGCTGAGCCATAGACAAGGGTCACCACAGATACTGTTCAAAAGAAAGACTGCTCTCAGGCCGAGTCTTTTGGCAGTAAGAGCATTGTGGTTGGTGTTCAGAGAGAAAAGGCACAGAGCTGCAGTTGGAGTGGGACTGGAAAGCTGGCCATGGAGAAATTGTTCATCAGTGCAGAGGCTGCAGAACTTGTCCATATCTTAGAAAAGGAAAGTGGTGCCAAGGTTCATAAAAAGAGAAAGCTAAGAGCTATCTTTGGAGTGGGCTGGAAAGGGACTGTCAAAGGCAAGCTGGAGATGCTGACAGTTCCAGGCTTGCAGAAATCTTTCATGTGGGCATCTGCTGGGGGACCTTGATGAAGCCTGCCCTCAGGAGAATTACCACCAGGGCTCTCCCAGCCACACTGGTAACAGACATAGCAGATGCATCTACTTCAGTCTCCCAGGGCTAAACAGGGCAAACTGAGGAAGGGGTGTTCTGCTAGCCCTGTAGTGTTCATCTCACCTCAGTCAGGTCTCAGAAGGGCTTGTCAAACTATGCACTAAACTGTCTCTGAAGCTACCAGGTTATGAGAGCATCTCTGGGTTGGACAGGGACTGCACTGCCTTGCAAGGAAAAGCTAATGTGGAGCCAGTCACACAGAGCCTCATCCGCCGGTTCCTCGAGGCACAGGCCTGTTTTTAATCACCGGGGTCTGCAGCTCAGACTGAACTTGGCAGCGCTTCACTCCATTTGATGATCCCGCTGGAAGACATTAAAGCCTTTTTCTTCATTCATTCAGAAGAGGAGCCAGTGCCATCCAGTCACACTCCAGACAGAATTAGGCTGGAAATGAACCCAAAAGCTTGCTAGAAACCTAAGGGTTAACTTTCCTTGTCATACCCTTATCTGTAGCTAGGCCTTTTTGTTTGGTTTCAAAGCAGAAAAAAACTCCAGCGTGCCTGAAACCACATCCTTAATCTCAGAAAGATTCAAGAGATACAAAAAAAATGGGCTAGCAGAGCTACAGAATTTCTTTCCTCCACTCCAACAAGCTGCCTCTGTTCTTTAAAGACTTAGGTGACTCTTTGTGGAAAAAGCGAGCCAGGAATGATGTACTGACTAAGACACAGGCAGGCTTTCTGTCCTGGCCTGAATAGCTCACCCACCAGCTCCAGGCATACAAAGCCTATACATTCAGCTATGCTGTCCAGACATGCAGTGGGCAGGAAAATATATGCTCCCTGCTACATTTTTCCTCTTCAGAGCTCTGATTTCAACCAAAATAAACTAAAGACAGAGATAAAGTCAGGTTTTGAGTAGATTTTTTTCATGGGGAGGACTGAGGACTCCGTATGTGCTTAAAGGGGTAAAAGTCCAGACACACCTACGTCAGCTGTATGTACAGCTTATTACACACACGCTAAAAGATGTGTGGGAAGATAATCAGGCTTACACCTGGATGCTGCTGTACAACAGAACATACACCCGCGCACGCATGTGGTGCCTCACAGACAGGCGGTTTACGGATATAAATGTTGTGTACGTGCTCACCTGCACAGGTAAGTGCCTGCTTTTACCTTCCCACTTTCATTCTTAGTTTCCCATTTATCTGTCCCTCTCACACATGAAAGCATGAGAAAAAATCACGGGCAGATATTCAGAAATGCATTTGCTTCTACAGCACAAAACACACACAAACCTATAACTTATTTCCCCTCCCCTAGCCCACCCAAGCACACATTATGTGAATTACTGCAGCAGCAACAGAAAAAGGAGTTGCATGGTAGGAGCCATATGCACCTACAAGAAAAGATAGTCCTGAACAACTAAGAATTCCAGCCAGCCAGAGAATTCAAGAATGAGGGAAAAGAAAGGAAGCAACAGATAATTAAGAATTGAGAAAAAATTATGAAATAACTTGCTCATGGTCACACAAACGAGTCTGTGCTAGAACTTTGTGTCTTCTGACGCTCCACACAAAGATTAGCTTCCATATACTAGGAGCTGATTGTTCTCAATCACATACATCCATTTAAATATTCTATCTAAAAGCAAAGAGAAACACCCTTCCCCAGAACTATCTTCAAAAGCAAAGAGAAACAGCCCTCTCCAGAACTATCTTCAAATGCTAGCTTGGTCTCCACTAGTATTTTTGGCCATGGGACAATGACTCTGTCTTTCCCACTCTTTCCCCCCTCTGTAAAGTCAGCTCCTATTTTAGATTCTTAGCTTCTGTCTAAGGCTAAACTCAAATATCTGCTTTTCCTCTAGGAAAAGAAAACCATAACAAATCTAAACTCTGGAAAATCATCTCATACCTCTCGTTCTTGTGCAGCACTCCGCTACATGACAGGCGCTGAGCTTCAAGCAGAAACCAGGCAGTGTCAGACAGCAGGAGCGGCAGAGAAAGAAAGTCCTGACTTCAGGCATCAGACACATTCTGAGTCCCAGCACTGGCAGCTTTCCATTCACCCAGCGCTTCAGAGCGGAGAGCAGCCGATCTGCCCTGGGAGATAATCTCGGCAGCACATCTGGTCTTAGCTCCACAACTCGGCATTAATTATGACTTGTGCAGAAAGCATTTGAAATATCCAATGAGATGCAGAGCTCCCCGGCTCGTTCCGCACAGGGAAGGAAAGAGGAGAAAGACAGGCAGGTAGGGTCTTGCCCACCCTCGAAGCGGCCGCCAATGTAAACAGCAGCTAAGTATGGGTCACAAGTTTTAACAAAGGCATCCCCCATCGGCCCTGTAATATATTCATGCTCTAATTGCTTGTCAGATCTATTCTAGATAGCTGGAAAAGCTGAGCAACAGTTGCCGTCTGCATGCCACACTCTGGATCCCTTCCTGATACAGGCAATATTAGCTGTGCTGCAGGCAACCTGGTGCCCTGGTCTGGCCCCTGATCTGCTTGCAAAGCACCAGAAGCAGAAACCTCATTTTGGAGGGGAACATTTCCCCACAGTAGCCTTAGCATGCTCTAAGAGTACCTCCACAGCTCTGGGACGTGTTGGAATGTTTTACAAAGCTTAGGAAAATCTACAGTTTTTTGGTACTTCTAGCCTCTGTTTTAGCTTTTTATAGAGAAATTACCTGACAATTAATAGCTCAGCTAAATAACTGGTAGGGGAGGGAACTAAAAGCTTCTTATATGTGAACCAATACACAGTAACTTTGCCTGCAGGAAAATATTCACCTCCCTCAGCTCCTGCTCTCAGAGCAAGAAGCCTCTAGTTAAGTACAATGCTTATCACACAATGCCCCATGCAGTTAGACAGAGGTCAGCTCTCCATCCCATTCACAAAACGCACTCATGTGACTACAAATCTGCAGTAGTCACCACCCAAAACCTTTTTCAGGAAGCTTCTGGGTAATTTTATCAAGTTAAGCTAACTACTTCTCCCTCTGCAGGGAAACAACAACAGCAAAGTTATCCCTGCCCACAGCTGCTCATCTGCTTCAACTATTAAAATATGTCTGTGGTCACTGTAGAGAGCACATTCACCTGAACTCAGTGACCCACCACCTTCTTAGCTACACCGTGGCCCAGCTTGAACACACATGCCAAAGAAGACACTGACCCACTAGTCAAGCTCTGAGATTCCAATCAGCGAGAGTGTTGCTCCACAACAAACTTCTCTATATTCTCTGTTTTGACCAAAAAGCTCCTGAGGAAAAGAGTACCCCTCACTACAGGTGAAGGCAGTACCAGGATCAAAAACTCCAGTTCTTGAAAATGGTGTGATTCTTGGGGCTGTCCTATGCAGTGCCAGGAGTTAGACTTCAATGATACTAGTAGATCCCTGCCAACTCAAAATATTCTATGATTGGCAAGGTAGTAAGGTATTCCTTAGCTATTCAAGGTATACCCTGAGTAGCATGGTATTGCACAGCTAGACATCAGAAGCTCAGACAACACACTAGACTCTATTTAAAATACACTACAGAATATCTGAAAAGTGATGGAAATCCTTAAACAAAAGGTACAAATGAGATCCTGGGTATTCCTCACACTTTAATTATCCTCTCTTCCCTTGTTGTGAACACGCCAGGCTGCAGGTTAGGGAGAGCCTGCCCACAGTGCTAACTCTTCTAAACTGCAGAGACACCACCAGGATTTTTGGCACTATTCCCTGCAATAATATCTCAAAATTTGTCCCATCTGTTAATAATATTATGGAGACTAAGACTCAGTGTTTGGGATAGGAGACCAGGAGATAGCAAATGCAGACTTTTATTCTTCCATTCGCTTCTCCATTTCTGTTTTCCGTCTCTCAAAACACAGAAACATGGAGGTGTCCAATGAAATAGAAAGTCATGCTGTTTAACATGGATATTGTTATACCCAAAGTATAATTAATCTGTGAAATTCACAGCATTTCTGTGGTCAAGGACACGGCATGACTCAAAGCACAATTAGACTTCACCAGAGCTTATAGTGCTATGAGTTGTAAGAAAGATGATGAAACTGATGCAAACTCTTTTCCAAAGAGCAAATCCAGCTCTCTGGTGAGAGAAAAAAGCTGGAGCACACGCTTGCTCACATAAGCATCATAACTAAAGCAGAAAATGGCAGCTGCTTCAGTTTATTCCCTGCACAAGGTAACTGTGCAGCTATAGGTGTCCTGTGACAGCAACATTGTGCTACACTCTCCAGTTACCACCTATCTTCTTACATGAAACAACTTTTAATACTTTTAAAAACCTGTTAAAATTCATGACTTAGACTACAGAATATAATGAGACTGGAATAAACACAATATAGATATATATATCTATAAAATTTTTTTCTGTGTTTTGAATTTCCAGGTCATACTTGAATCCTGCTTTCTCTGTTAACCCCATTTTCAACAATGAAATCCAAAATTCCCACATAATCACTGGATTGAAGGGGCTGAAGATGCTAAAAGTATACTTGACACTGCAAGAATAGCAATAAAATCAAAAGACTTCTCCACATTGCGTATAAACTACACTAGTTTTCACCTGGAGATCTCCACATACACGTGTGCCAAAGACAAAAGGGGTAATGGAGATTGAACTCCCTCTTTCCCCACTTGTATGAAGTTGTTTAGCTGTAGAAAAGTTTACCACTTGGCAGATCTTATTTTCTAAAGAACTTAGGTTTATTAAACAGGAAATCTCACATGAACTTGCTGCTGGGGAGCTGGTGGCATTTTCTTTCCCAGTGTCATTGTAGGGACAGAGTCCTAGCAATGCTCTCATGACCTAGCGTCGCTGCAGTTACTCTGTTGCAGGTACTAGAACACAGAGAAAGCATTCTGCCTATATATGTCACTACAAGCCTTGAGACTGGCTGCAAAGTTCACTACAGTTCACACAACCTCTGAAACTCCAAGCATGTTTTAGGTTTGGCATCTAACTCAGGTGAAAAATAGTCTTGAATCTGGTTGCAACAGACAGGTGAACCCACATGGACTCAGAAAATATTCCTCCTCATCTCTGATTGTGAGCAAACTTGTTGGCTTCTTCAGCTCTAGCAAGTGCCCATAGGGTGTGGGTATTTTTAGATACTGGCTTAGAGTATTAGCTAATATAGTCAAGCGGATCTGAGGGAGTTCAGATGTAGGAAATTACTCCATCTATTTGTATAGAAAGGGTCTAGTATCAAAGTTAGAACCAGAGCTGAAGTTCCCTAATTTTCAAGAAGGTTGAGCCTTGTACAGGCTCATTTTTTAATCCAGGTAAGCACGGGCATTTGAACATCTTATATCTGCTGAAAGCTGGCAGTGAACTGTTTACAGGTCATCAGTCAAAAAGCTGAACTCAGCAGGAAAGACTTCAGCAGTATGTCTTCTGTACAGAAAATTTCCCCTCCACTTTCCTCCTGCTCCAGACTCTTTGGTCAGAATCCTCTCCAAAAAAATTATCACCCCCACACCCCTCACCTGCTGGGGTCTCAACCTTTACTGGTGAAATTAAATCTTCTGAGAATAAACAGGCTTCTGCTTACTGACTGATAAAACAGTTCACTCTGGGTTAAACATTAGCAAATAGCTATGCTCACCCTTCCCTGACAGCAGATTCTGCCTAACCTGTGTGAGGTGTCTTCCCAGCTCTCTAAAATATGTCAGAATAGGAACTATGGAGCACTGTAAATTACCCTGTCATGGACTCTGACCAGTTTATGCTCTAAAATTGAGATTTTAACTGTGTGCTCACAGAGAAAAGATGATAAACCTAAATATCACTTAACCATGGCATTCTGAATCCAGAGCCAACCCTCTGTGTTTATTGCTCTGTTTCTCTCTAAAAAAAGGCAAGAGCATTTAGAGAACAAAATATCAAGAGCAACAAAAAAGTGCCTTTTAGCAAATAGTTATCTGGACAAACGTGCTCTGGAAAACTTTTTTCTCCCCATAACCTAAGATCATATTTTACAGAACCTTTTTGTTTACTGACTCTTGAATATGTCTCTCTGTGTTTAAAAAAGAGCTTCCATACCATTGTCAAAAGCTATGTCTGTAGAAAGCACCTGACCAGCAGATAATGTCTTTTAAGTGTACTGTATGTTGATGCCCCCAGAGCACAGAAAACTTTACAAAAATTCTAGGTGTAAGTAAGTTAAAAAAAAAGTTATGAAATAGCATAATTGTTGCTACCAGTGTCTCATCACTAGAGATAGATGACAATTCCAGATGTGGGTTCAAATGCAAGGACCACGGAGTTTGAAACCTGTTGCTGATCATCATCTCTAGTACAGAATGAAAGGATTCACCTGGATTTCCAGCCATCTAGAAACCTGGGAGGGTCTGTGATCTAGACTCACAACCAAAATTTAGCACACCAGGCACTTTTACCCATTCAGAAAACCAAACAGGTTTATGTCCTGCAGCTTTTCCATATCCCAGGCCTTCCCATATCCCAAGGTTGAAAACCTAAGCACAATCAGTCACCGAGATGCGGACAGGATTAACACTGAACACCCTGGATGTGGAAGGGATGGCATTTAATTCCAATTTGTAAAGTGGATAAAACATTTCAGTAAATTTGTTAGCCTATCAAGAACACCTCTAGAAGAGGTAAAGAACTGAATGTTCCCTTCTCTGACCTGCAACTCGGAAGGCATAAGAGGAAATTGCAAGTCCAATTACATGATGATGAAAGATAAAAAAAAAGGAGCAGCTGTGGAGGGTAGAAGGATAATATTAGAAACCAAAAAAAAGAGAGGGTAGATTTATTTGTTCTTGACTCCTAAATGGTTAAAACTGCAACTTCTAAGGAGCAGGTTGCCATTCCCTTTCATTCAGTGATCACATATCCTCATAACATTCATCAAAGGAATAATACACAGAAATTAAAATACTTGCCTGCAAGCTGAGAAACACCATAATAACATGTTTGTCCCATTAATACACAGCCAGAATGTGCAGTGAGAACCATCAGTGTTTTAAAGACTGTCAGCTTTCAGACATCAAGCACAAATCTAATGATTACAGGAGTGGTCTCACTGAAAACCACCAGCGTAGGGGGTGGTGTTGGTCAGACCAAGTGCTACAGGTAGTAGGCCCCAACGACGTGACAAATGCACAGCCACTGTCACCTCTCCATGGCACTTG